CGTTAAATTGTGTCGACTGCACATCAATTCCAATGTTTTCAGTTCTGGACCATTCCATTGCGCCAAAGCCTTGGCGTCGATAACGAGTCCTTGATGGTGAAGTCGAGGTTGACGCCCCGCTTTGGACTCGGTCCACGGCAGTTCGAAAAACGTCCAGTGCGCACCGCGAACACTTTTGGAAGATACGTCTTCTCAAAGTTAGCGCCGAGAGAAAGCCCGTCCTTGTTCTTGGACCCGTCCATTCTGGCATGGAATGTGGTGGCGTTCTGAACGTATTTAAGCTCTAAACGGCTGCGTTCCCATCCCACGAAAGGTGTTGTGAGATCCAGTTCAGTTTCCATGATGTTTGCTGTCTGGATTCATCCTGAGCCATGGCGAAGTCCAGCGACCAGTCCTACCGTTCAAGATCACCTCTTTCTCTTCGATATTTCCAGCAACCTGTGCCAAAAAATGTAACCATACATGAGTGATGTTAGCCAGCTTATCAGTGCCCAATGCCGCATCCGAACGGTGAACAAAATGCCGCACACTGGGCGCTGAACACTAAAACCTGCTTTAAAAACTAAAGTCCTTCATTTGAAATAATGCAAAACTTCTGAACGCTATTTGCAACAGACTTAACGATTGAACCCCAATTTCACGTGTTATGTAATACGGCACGACAAAAGGTTCTTAACCAGCCGCATCTAATCTCCAAATGATAACAGAAAGTGTGTTTGTCAGGATGTATACTTGACTCATTAATTGCCAACTTCGTGACAATGCACACGCTCTAGAAAGAAATGTGACGGGTATGAACGGAACCTTAAGAGTTTGTTCTGACCCACCTTGTATCTGGTTAAATTGGAAATATCTAAGCAAGTGAAGATCATTCCACTGATAGCAATGCATTTCACAACCCACCACCAAGCTGACGTCAGTCGATGGAGCGACAGGCAATGGCAGCCGAATCCGATTTTTTTTTTGTGCTCCATATAGCAGACTCGAGCGGCTTTTTGTGAACGCCCATACCTTGAAGTTCAAGAGGCTGGGCACTCCTGTCACATCCGGTTTGTTTTGGAACGTCACGCGTTAAGGTTCTGTAGCCTGGCAGAGGTGTCTGAATGTTGAGGTGCAGAGCGAGCTTGTTGTTGCTCTGCACAGCCACTCTGCCCTCCAACAAAATGATCTTGTCGGGAGCGTACTCCAGAGAAGCACGCACGCCACTTGAACTGGAAAAGAAGAAAGTCCCATAACTTGTGCTGACACTACATACGGCGCATGCATGGTGCAAACCAAACAACTCGGACCAACACGCTGCTTCTTTCGACGGATCTCAGGGTGAGCGCAGCTGATGGTGTGGCAGCGGTGGGTCGGTGGTCACTCTGGCAATTATTGGCGGCTTTCACCTCCAGACAAGTTGCGGTACTCACTCAAACCGGCTAGCAGCTGGACTTGACGGCCAGGGTACCGTAGCTTAGCCGACAGGTCGTAACCCCGCCTTGAGATCTCCATGATTACGTGTTGACTATCATCGACGTCTTTATTCCAGAACAGCTCAAAGTTGGCGTTCATTTCCGGACCACCTGGACGCACCTGAAATGCCGGGGTTATGTGGAAGACTGTCTGTCAAGTGCATGTTTTATCAAATGTCCAAAGACAACACACACCACATACACACACACACACACACACGCACACACACAGCCACGCACGCACCAACGCACACCGCATGCGCACACGAACACGCACATGCGCAAGCGTACGCGCGCGCGCACGCACGCACGCACGCACGTGAACCGTCCAAAGCTTAAAGTAGTGAAACGCATGATGACCTGGTGAGCTTCGTGACACATGAGGTCGCTGCTAGGCCACATGAGACGAGTGCTAGCGGCGGCCGTCCCGCCCGACTTACACTGACGACGGTCATGATGCGGCGGCCTAGCTGCAGGTCGGGCCTTGACCTTATAGTTGCCGCCCTCGGTGCGGGCCGACAGCGTGCCGGTGTACTCTCGCCGCGGCAGGCGAGCGCGCAGCTCCAGGACGTGCTCGGCCTCGTAGCGGTACTGGGCCGCTGATCATGTAGACGTGCGGGCCGCGCTGCAGCTGGCCGCTGACCAGGTAGCGGCCACCACTGCCGGCTGCCAGCCGGCCACTCAGCCGCGTGCTTGGGTAGTTGGGTAGGTCAAGACTGGCGTCCAGCGTGTGCGCGTCCGTCTCGTCCAGACCGAGCGCCGCGGTCAGCCGGACCGTCCTGCTCTCGCTCCCCACCTCTCGGGAGGCCAGAAACTGAAACCCCCGCGCCGCGGCGTCAGGTGCTGGTGACACGGGGACGAGCCCGCGCCGCGTAATAGATGCGCCCGTGCGGTCAATGTGGTCAGAGAATCAGCGACAGCTTGCCAGGCGTGGGAACGAAGCTAGGCTTCTGGCTTCGAAGCCGAATCCGAAGCCAAGACAATGGTATGATATCGAAGTCGAAGCTGCAGCCCTCATCTTGTTTTAGTGTGTTTGCAGCATTTCGGACAGTTGGTTCTCCGGCGTCAGCAGGTGCTTATGGACCTGAGAATGACCGTGCGATTTTGAGGTCTCAGCCATGCATGGGTAGCAGCATTGAAGCTCTATGTAGTATATTGGAGTGACAAAACGGGCAGCAACCCATCAAAGATCGTAGGAAACCGAGCTGAAACCACCACTCAAAAAATGTTCAAAGCCGAAACCGTAGCCGAGGCCACCTCTTCAACGTGACAAATATCCGAAGCCAAAGCCAACAACAGACATTTTTTATTTGCATTAAGTCGAAGCCAAAGCCGAATCCTGCCATAAAGCATGACACTAAGCGATACAGATTTATCAGTGCTTGCGTGATATTTATACCAGTGACAACCTCGCTTCTGCCACTTCTTATCGCGAGTCAAGCAAATGTAAATCTTGCAAATTTAGACTTTCTTCTGATCAGCGTCTCGCCATCACCAATACTAACTCCACACCACAGAGTCCACACACACAACCAGCACATCATTGTGCTTCGTGCGTTCTCACATCTAATGAGCATACACGGTCGGTGGCGGCGCAGCAAAGGGAGGGGGAGGGCAGAGGGGCAGTTGCCTCCCCTGCCTGCCATCAGGTAGGCAATTTGATGGGAGGCCCCTTTTCCCGAAGTAGACGCATTGTAACCACCCGTAAACGATCAAAATTCAGATCGAAAGGCTAGAGAGAAGTGAGCTAGCGAGTGGTAAATCGCGCTCGGGGGGCCATTTTCTACATCAGGCGGCATTTTTCTGGACAATTAACCTACCTTTATCAATAAGGCACCGCATGCCCTAGATCACAGGGCCCAATGTTGTGTTAAGACGACCCTTTTGATGGCTTGGGAGGCCACCACTATAAACTAGAAGACCCTGTTATGGGTTAAGAGGCACCCTTTATATCACAGACGCCCCATTTCTAGGGCAGATGCCCCTTCCATGCATCAGAGGGCCGCGGTTCCGGCTCAGGATGCCCCGTTTTGCGATGGCTAGGCCGCTGGGCTAGATTTCGAGGCCCCATTCGTGAAATGAAAGCACCTTGCTCTGGATTCATAGCGACCTTCATGCCTCAGTTGGCCCGCTTTTGGGTCGCGGAGACTACTGAACAACTAGAAGGCCCGATTCATTTTTCATTGTTTACATGTGCTTCCATACAAGTTTATTGGATATTTAATGGATAGGATGCATTTTGATAAAAAAAAAACACATGCCATCTGTACCCTTCCTCCTTGGATATGGCACTGCCCATGAGACCCCTTGTGACAAGGCCACATTTTGCCAGGAGGCCACGTTGAAAATCTTACCCCCCCCCCCCCCCTCCCCCCCACTCAAAATCAATGGCGGCCGCCGCTGTACACGGTAACAGACGGATTGCCTTATAACTTTCTTTCAGGTGGAAACGGTCAAGACAAGTGGTACGAAGTTATGTGATATTACGCTATGAGAAACCAAAGAACAACGTGTAAAACATCTCACGATGGGCGTGACTGGCAGGCTGAATGGATCGCAGAGTGTGGGATCACTTCGCAATCCCCAAGACTGACTGATGTATCTACCGCATGGATAACAACGATCATTACTTTTTAAAAGAATCATTGAAAAACATAACTGGTAGACGTTCGTCAGTGAACCACAGCAGCCGTTGTTCTAGTTTCCGGTGGAACAGCCAGCTTGATTTGAATGGTTTGTTACCCAGAAGGGTTAGATGTCTGCTAATGGTTTTCTTGTCCTAGAGACTTTGGAAATTTGTAGAGATTATATGTCTGAGTACATTTGGAGGTTGTTAATGACTCTGCAGACCCTACCGTCGTGAAGTAGACTTTTTTACACAAAGTTGACGCTGAACCCGACGCGATTCGCTGAAAACTGGAGATTCTCGAAATCTAAGCCGGTTTTGTCCCCATGCTCGGTACTTATATTTTGATGCTTACCGTAAGGTCGGCTGTTCCGTCGTCGCGTCGCACTTGGGCGACCAATGCGTAGCTGGAGGTCATTAGAGTGATGTTGGTGTCGACACCGTAGTCAAAGTTGAAGCCTTCAGACAGGTAGCTGACAGTAAGACTTCCTCCGGCAAATCTGTCCTGATTAAGCCGTGCCATAGTGCTCAGCTGAAGCCTCTGTTTGGTGCTCATCTGGAAATGGACAACAACCAACGTGACATTTTGCACTTAGAGTGGCACCATATTATCATCTGTGTTCCGTTTCGGGTTGGATACTACTGACTGCAAGTCATATCCACCATAAGTGCTTATCATAATAAACCCTTCAGTAGTAAGATGGGTTTTCGAGACACCGGTATGCTACAGCTGTGCATATTGCCTATGTATGCCTTGGGTACTAGAGCTATTCTTGGATAGGCTAAATTCATCGAGTAAATTCATGCAGTAAGCTGCTCCCGATGGTGAACGCTAAAAGAAACATAAATGCGACTCGATTAAGGGAAAAAAGCCACTAGGAAGCAACGGATTTGAACACATCGAATGGTCCGATATGAAGTTATGAGGTCGCACATGCATTAGAACATCCTGGGTTGTATATCTATTTATTAATCGTGACTAAGATATTACGGATTGATGCTTCGATTCGATTTGATTGTTTTTTTTTTGCTGTGCCAGATTGGGGTAGACTGACTTTGGCTTTGCAAAGAAGACCGATCGATGGGTCGGTCGATTGCATACGCAACTGGCGGATTTGATTGATCTGGGCAATGCACATTGAGTTCACGAGGAGTTCGAGTGGGTGTGGATCGCGGCAGTCATTGACGCAGAGCGGACGACCAGACAAAGACATGGTACACGTTTGCCAGTTGTCGCGTTCCAGCGGCTCAGCCGCACCGTTCCGGCTGAGAACTCGCTCGTTCCGCTCACGTCTAGCTCGGTGGCCAGTTTGAAGTCGACGTCCATGTGCGCCGCCTGAAAGGCAATCTCGCCGAACCGCCTGCCGCGCTGGTCACCGAGGCCGGCGCTGAGCTGATATCGGCGCTGGCCGAGCATCAGCTCCGCCGTGGCGCGGTGCTGGCCTGGCGACCTGGCCAGCTCCGCCCTCAGCTCCGTGTCGAGGAGCGGCAGCGCCGACAACTGTGGGGCCATGAGCTGAGCTGAGCTGACGCCGGTCATTGGCACTCAGGCATTGGCAGGGAACAGAGTCTAAGCTGGTATATGTCCTAGTCGTACAGTTAACAGGAAGCAAATACTTCAATGATACCGCAAGCAAGCAGCTTTTAGCTGTCATTCATAGACATCGGTGAACACAAGCACGGCTGTTAAATTTCAAACAAAGATGATGTCTTCATGAACGGAACGTGGTAGTGTGTGGCCTACAAAGCGTAAGCTTTTTAAATTCGATACAAAATGCCAGCGTTACCTCACTGATTTCCACGTATCCATGGGAAGCTTAGGGAACAATTTCTTGCTGACCAATCAAATAATCAATCGACTGATAACCAACAGCCTGAACAATCGATGACTTGTGTTGTTCACACCACGCGCAATCGGCAAATCAGAGATATGCTACAGCAAGCATCTGCAAGACACCATCCTTAACTGTACGAATGTTACCTTTGTCTCCACGGTAAGTTTGTACAACGCCTGTTCGCCGAGAGCTTCCTTGTCCAGCTTCGTGTTGAGGGAGATGGTCCGTGTGGGACCATCTAGCACGCTGTACTCTGTCGCCGTCTGCAGCACGAGGCTCGTGCCGTCGTGGCGGAACATCCCGTTCAGAGTTCCGGTCAGAGCGTGCGAGCTTAAGGATGTGGCAATGCTATACATGCCGTCATCTTCGTCAACAGAACCTGAAAATGCCATTGAGAGCAGGTGATGAACATCGCAAGGGCATGTATATTATAGGATATTATACATGTATGATTGTACATGTGACATGTATGTTATAGGATCAGAGCCCACTTATGCGGATCTAACTTGCACTGACGTGTTATATTATATGTAACTTGAATTAACTTGTGTATATACGTATATATGTATACATACAATGATATATATATATATATATATATATATATATATATATATATACACCAACATTGCCTTCGAAACTAAGGCTGCTTAGCCCTCGTATTGCGAGGAAGGACCTAAATTTTCTTCCAAAATAAGTTTTTCGTGCTTTTGAGAAACGCGAGATTTTGAGCAAGTGAGAAGAAAAACGCTTGGTTAGCTGCACTCACATCATTTTTACACATGTGTAGATGTGAAGCTTGTGACCTTGACGGTTCATAATTCTGTGTCCTTGTTATCGAGATCATATCTGTGTCCTTGTTATCGAGATCATATCTGTGACAGTTTCCCTCACAAGTAACAAATACAGCCTACTAACTCCAGCACGTTTAGAAAATACCTTCGTTTGACTCTCTCGCAGGAAGTGTAATTAAAGGCTTTGATGTTAAAGGAACAGGTGACAGTGTCCTGCACTCGCGCGTTTCATCGTGCTGGTTGGATAATGCTGACAGACAAGAAATCAGACACCTGTCTAGCTTAGAGTAAATGTTCAGTGGCAGACGCCTGGTCATCACTCACCAGTAAGGACGATCGGATAGTTGTACAGAGTGTTGGCGCGCAGGCGGACGGCGTACTTGGGCTTGTCCTTATTGACAGAGCACTTCCCCTTTGAGGCGAAACAGCGGCCCGGATGAGCCCCGGATCACGACCAGAGGCTGATACTCGACAGCCCGCAGCGTGTCGTTCTTCGTCAGACTGCCGGCGACACCGAAGATCTCCCGCCGGTCGATATCTAGCTGCAGAGCAGCGTGCTTTCTCTCAGTCGCCACGTCGAGACTTCCCGCGAGTTCCACCGACTTAACGGGAGTGATGATGCCGACGCGGAACGCCTTGTTCCGGAAGTTGATCATGTAGTCGAGGTTTATGTGGCCGATTGGTGGTGGTCCCCGGCGTGTCCAGCATCAGGCTGGATTTCCTCACCCCTGCCTCGTTCGAGTGTCGGTACTCGAAAATGAACGCCTTGACAGTGTCGGTCTTTTCCACGGTGATGCGAGCGGTCAGAGGGCCCGTCAGCAGAAAGCTCGCACCGCTGGCAGCGGGCAGTGGGTAGCAGATTTCTGAGCATATGTTGACTCCAAGCGCGGCTGCGGTGTAAGCCTCTGAGCAGGCGCCATATTCGACCTTGTTGCTGGTCGTCTCCAGTGGTATCTCCTGGTTCTGGTAAACGCTATGGAAGCTTGTTCTGACATCTAGCATCTCCACCTTATCCTTAGGCATGTTCATCTTGATTGACACAATTTTAGCCGAATCAATGACCACCTGTCCGTCCAGAGCGGTCGATGTGTGAAGATTTGTGTTCATCTTGAGTCCAGTGCGAGCAACGTAGGCGTCTACGCTCATTTCAGCGGCAATTTCCACGGCAGCAGAAGGTTTAATAAACCCTTCGATATTCATCTTATTCCATGACTCAATGTTGAAGCGTCCACTCGTCTTCAGCGTAACAGTGGCGGCCCCCACGGCTCGCAGTTTGAAGGGAAGACCGATCATAGTGGGAATCGTATAGCTCGTATCCAGGAACTGGTAGTTGTCGGTCCAGTCTCTGTCCTTTGCCAGCTTTTGCAGAAAGCTTACTGGACCGTCGTCGCCCAAAGCACGAACCAGAGCACTGAGGTCATCGAATGTGCCAAAGCTCAGTTCGTTGCCAAAGATCTTCACGTACGATGATGCATGAAACGACCCAGACGCGTCATTGGCGGCGTTATAGGCATCCGAGAGCCTAGTGATGTCATTGCTGCTCGGTCGACCCCTCATCGTCCGCAGGATCTGGCTAATGGATTCCTGTGGGTACGGACCTTTGTTCCCAAACAGGTTTTCAACATAGTGCTCCAGGCCTTCCACGCGGCCACCGACCTCCAATAGATTGATGGCCTCGCCAAAGAGATCGACGGTGAGGTTTAGCATGCCGGACCTTGGTATGTACGATTCTGGTGAAAACACCACGGCGCCCTCCACTGACCCTCCGGCATTCACGGATTCAAAGAATGCTGATTTTTCATAATATCGTGAGAACTTCCTTGCATCGGTGGCAAACTTTTTGATAGCTCCACATTGTAGAGAAGCGACTTCAAGTACTGCTTGCTGGGGTCATTGGTTTCTTGCATGTTGGTTATGTGCGTCCACACAAAGCTTCCTACCTGGTTGACAGTTTCCTTCGATAGAATTTCCATTAAGCTTGTCGACAACCTCGTGGGTAGCACATTGCGTGACAGCCAAGTAGGCGGCGATGCGAACCTCGCTGTTCTCCAAATGGTTGGCGAAGGTGTGCACTAGCCCGCTGTTGCTTACCACGGCACACGGCATCCTCCGGTACGCCCTGATGGCTTCGAGGCGAGTTTCGACGTCGTCCTTACTCGCGAAGCAAGCGCGAAGGACACCCTCGCCGCGAATCAGAAGTCCAACGTTGCCCAGGGCCTTCAGCGCTGCCAGGACCCTGGTCCTGCCTTCCCTGGATTCGGACGCGCAGTCGCCACCAAGCAGCTGCTCGATGCTGCTCACGGCCTGCCTCACAGCTGGCCGCTGGGCACAGTCAACGTCGGCGCGGCAGAAGCGGTGCAGCATGGCCGAGACGCCCAGCAGCGTCTGCGTCCTGACACCAGCGTCAGCCAGCAGCGGCGCCACCGCCTCCACCATGTCCAGCCGCGGCTCGTGCACAAAAGCAAGAGACGTCATCCAGCGGTCGGTCTCCTCGGAAGCGACTTGACCGAGCATCACCATGTCCCTCATGACGACCAGGGCGGCGGCAGTGCCCAGCATGGGCAGGGCGTCCATCAGGTACTTGCGCGTCGTCTGCTGCGTCTGTTCGCGCAGGAGGCGGGCGAGGCTGGCCGCGTCCGCTTGGCGCAGTGTCTGCACCAGCTGCGTGAAGAGGCGAGGGACCTCGCGCCGCACGTCCTCAGCGGTCTGCCGCTGCATTTCGGCCAGCAAGAGGCGCGTCGCGTCCGCACGGTCCACCGCCTTCAGCTCTGGCGCCGAGTGGTCAAACATGGCGCTACTGCGCACTCGCAGCGGTTCTGAAACGGAGCGGCAGCGGCGTCATAACCAGCCGACAGCGCCAGAACATGCAGGCAGTCGACATGCCCGGTGGTATGAATTAAGTCAGCTACGGAATAAAAAGCCATCGGCAGACGGCAGAACGCACAGTACTGAAACCATTCTGAGTGATCCCGCGCCGCCTGTGCCGTCTGTGGAGCGGTGAGCGTCCCTTACCGTGCTGGCGGGTGTGAACTGTGGGCCGGACGTTCATCTCAGTCAGTGTCAGGGTGGTGCGCGTGACCGCTCCGTTTCCCGCCGCCGGAGAACGGCCGGAACAGGTGATCTTCCTGGCAAACCACTGTGAGTAGCCGGCCAGCCGACACTGCCTGCCGACAACGCTGGGTGCTCCTGCCGAGATGCGGCCGGCGGTCGTCAGAGGCCAGCAACCGTCAGCGGCCGCCGTCGGCCGCCCAGGGGCCAGCGACCGTCAGGGACCAGCGGCCGTCAGGGACCAGCGGCCGTCAGGGTCCAGTGACCTTAAGCGTTCAGCGGCTCTCAGCAGCATAAATTTGCAGTAACAAAAACATGTCCGGCCGGTTCAGATCTATCTTCACCAGACATCCAATCGTGGCTGAAATTCGTGATTTGGGACGTCCGCCATGTTTCCAATTTGTACAAGCATCTTCGATGGCACCTTCAACCCGGGTGACTGACCCCTGATATTCCAAATGTGGTGACCAAAGCTGCGCCTCAGTCTCTAAACTTGTCACCTGTTGAACGGACAATTCAATACATAGGACGCGTCAAATGTATCATATTACGAACCAACGTCGCTAAGCTGTCAACAGCAGGATGTTGGAGAAAAATGATATGTTTGACACATGGCGGGTTTCTTTTCCGTGAAAGCCCACCTAACGTCAATCTAGTGTCCATAGCGCTTTGTGCTGCTGTCATCCAATGCTGGCCAAAAATAAAGCGTGTATTTGGGAGATATCCCCAGAGGTTTACTGAAGACCATACGGGCGTAAAGCTTACGTTCTTGGGCATGCATGGGCATTGCTGTTGCCATCTTTTGCCGGGTAGTGACACCTAGGTTACCTTCATAACTGCTAACTGAACAGCTCGGCAATCGGCAAGGAATGAAATGTGCCTTGATAATAAACAGTCACCAAAAGCAGAGTGATTATTAGGTAAGATTTCACACCATTGTTCCTTCCAACGGTCTGTTTACTCGAAACTCAGCATCTTTCGTTTGCTTTTTTCTTTCTGAGAACCTGTACATTAAACAAACATTGCAACCGTTTTCACTACGAACTAAGGCGCAAAGCTTTCCAATTAAAAAACAAGTTTTCAGTTTATTTTCTGATGATTCAGCTTTTATGAGCGATTTGTAGCCAGAAAAAATTGCAGAGATCACGGGAAACAGCCAGAGTCTTGGTAAGCGTGGGAGCACAAGGATATCAAAGGTTCCGTGGTGGTGAAAGGGTCCCTTAAGGTCCCGTGGTGGTGGAAGAGTTCCGGAAAACTAGCCGGGTGTAGCCCACTTAAATTCGTGGGACACGGCTTCCTCGTTACATTATTGCTTTTACATTTTGTAACGTAAACTGGAGCCATAAAACAGGCGAGGATGCAATTTTCATGCATTTGGAAGTTAATAAACTGAAGGAATCAAGCGTTAATCCGTACCCGGCCGGGGACATAAGACAACCGCGCCCGGCCGGGGGGAGAGGAGTTGACGTCTCCCTGCGATCTCCAACTTCTAGACGCCGCGCGAAAAAACAAAAATACCGTTCTAAAGGTATGGTCAAATAGTGAGGAATACAAACCAATTATTTGACCTTAAGTCAAATATCAGGTCACCAGGGGTCACGAGAGGTCAAAAATGGCCGCTCCGATAGATGCGCTTATACCTTATGGCAGCACGCCAAGACGGACATTGAGGGCGCGTAAACAAGCGATAAGACTGTGGGGAGTCCAGCTTCGGCCATTTTTTTCGCTTACATGGCGCAGCTCAGATTAGGGCACCGTTCAAAATTGCTCTACCAGTCGCCTACAAGAGTAATACTTTTCTTCACAGCGTACTTTCTGACCGAATTCGTTTTATTAGATCCAGCTGTGCGGAAAACGCATTCCAGACACAAAACGACCACTGTAGGCTGACCTAGAGTTTAACTTGGGGCCAAATTAGGTCAAATTGATGAGATATCCAATTGAAAAAATTGAAGTGCTAACCGGGTCTCTGTGACCAGTACAACACTTTTCTGTTGTCAGAAATAGTGTATTGCGCATCTGCATATACTCAAGATTGTATAGCTGTTGGCTACACTATATATAGCCCCTTCGGCGCTTGACAATGTATTCGTGACACATTGTGAACAGGTACGTTGGTACATGAAATAAGACGTCATCAGCTTCACAAACACGATAATGAGGTGGTTACGCGCGTCGTACTCGTTCATCTTGCCGCCCCGCTACTGGTAATGTAGGTCATTGACCCTGGATGGCGTCATATCAATGTCCTTACATGGCCTATCGTACCCGCCATGCGTGTTTGAAAAGGTGCCTTTGAACGCTCATGACACCAATTAGACCGCTGAAAGGTAATTCGAAGGTAGCGTATATCTTACCGGCGCAACATTTAGACTGATGACTGGAATGTAATAACATTTACAACACCGTGAACTGGTAGCAAAGTCTTGAGACGGAATTATAAAAGTAAGAGGAATGTATATATATATATATATATATATATATATATATATATATCGTATTGATGTAACAGTTCTGCACAAATGCCATCCTATTTAAGGCCCCAATCCTATTTTTGAACGGTACGACATGATTTTAAAGGATTTTCGAAAGCCTATCCCTCAACGTTTTGTGCTTGCGCGTCTGACGTCCACCTTGCGCCGGTATTAGCCGCAGCCGGCAATGCCGCTCGGATTGACGGAAGATGCAGCCCCAACCATCAGTATTTTTGCTGCTAGGATCGCAGGCTCAAAATACTTGACGAAATTTGCGCTACTAGTTCGTTCTGTTAACAGGATGGATATCCTCGTGCAATCATAGGGGTGACAATTTGAATTTTTGGCTTTACCTTGGCTTTTTGGCCCGGCTCCCTATACTGACCGCTAAGGAGGCCCCTTACCTTTTCCGGGCAAGAGGTCCCGTGGGTGGTGCACTAGGGGCGGGGGCATATTCATCTTTACCGTTCAGAGCTAGAGGGTCGTTCCGTCCCAGCGCGGGGTGCCTACCGGCCGTCATCCTGACAACGCACGGAGGTGCCACCACATCATCCGAATGCCCCTAGAGGGATACATAATGCGTTGGTCCCCTCCCTGACGCGGGCGACCCTCTGACCCGGGAAGTCGGCGCCGGATTAACGCAGGGGCCTTCACTGACGTAGAAATTTAGAAAACGTTCCCCCGTCTCCTTCGCATCTTACCGTAACGACCAGTCTCCCAGGAATATCATGCTGAGGTGGAGGTTCGAGAGAAAATGTCTCCATGTCGTCGAAGTGACAGTCCAATTTCCAGTTATCTGGCAACGCTTCATCTCCGAGGATAGCACTAGTGTTGTTGAAACAAGTTATCATCAACTATCCTTTCATGGCATGACTTTTTTCTGACGGCTCCTGAGATCACTTGCATAAAATGCAACGTTGATATACTATGGAACAAAAGTGGATGTGGACATGAGATGTACCGGCCGTCAAGAAAAAGGCGGTACCTTCCATACGCGAGTCAAGTCGTAAGTTTTTCAAGCAAAAATAAAAAACAAGCCAAGTAAGAGTTTTTCTAGCAGCATCTGAGATTGCTAACATAAAAGCACACGGTGATATCCCGAGGAGTGAAAGTGGATGTGAACATAGAACACCAGACTCAAAGTTTCTTTGGTGAGGCAGAAGCCAGAGTGCTAAGACTGAGATCTACTAATAGGCGTCATGCAGAGTCTGTGAAGTTAACGGATGTTGTCAGAATGCGATCATCTCCCCCAACGTTCCTTACCTTAGCAACGGCATGGACTGAATGTTGGAGGCCGAATGGTAGGGTGTCGTTTGAAGTGAGGACACGAGGTGGCCGCGTTCCCGACAGGTCAGCAGTTCCTTGGTCTTGATTACCGCGGTGATGTCGCCCAAGTTGCGGACAGTGTAGTTGGTGGAGCAGTAGCCGGACACGTCCGTCTGAGCAGACAGAGTTTCTCACAACTGGAAACTTCACACGCATATGGTGTTTTCCGTACGGTACCTTTAAAATATGATTCTTCACAGCCGGTGTATAGACATAAATAAAACACGCTTCATTACATTCCCAATTACAACTATAAGCCCCACTCTCACCTCGCCTCACGCATGTACTTAATACAATTTCGACTGCGAAAATCCAACCAGTCTGTGTGTATGTGTGTATGTCTTCATCTCGTTAGATGTACCTACGCACAGCGCAGAAAGCTGCACGGATTGTCGTAAAATGTGCACAAACAATGCGCTCAAGTTTTGTGGCAATCCGTAACATAAATTCAAGCACGCCTGATAGCGGTGGCAGACACAGCGTATGTAGAAATGAAGAGCGCTTCAGTGCTTAGCAGACATTTTTCGCATATGTGGGAGAAACCTGTTGTGCGAGGGTCAAGATTTGAGCCAAGCCATTGGAAAAAATGCCGCAAAGCCTGAGCGACGTTGCATATAAAGCGTCCGCGCACGGAGAAGACTGTTACTCCTCGCCTTACGGATTCTTACCTTTGCCCAACAAGGGGGCGTGAGACCCCTAAGATTTAAAAAGTAAGCAAGCTGGAGTCTCACGGAAACAGCATTGGAAAGCTCTCGCCAAACCAAATCAAATAGGTAGGTTTGCGCAATGGTGAATGTGGCCTTGCAAGGGTAAAACCAATTTAAGATGTTCAAGTCTCCAATTAATAGGACTACATTTAACACAACGCAACATCTGGAGGACTAAACATGCCAATACAATGCGGACGTTGACTTTAAATACCCCATGGAAATATTAATGAGACAGTCACTGGTGAACATCGACGCATGCGATCCGTCATATATTGTCAGGTTGAAGGAGTGAAGGCGATTATTACCTTGGCAAGTGCGGCTTCACCCCCTTCCTTGCAGCCTAACCCCGCCGCCTTTAATCAAAATGTCAACGACATGATCTTGGAAAGATATGAGTTCATGACCTACATCATGAGCTATCCAGCTCAGAACTCCGAGTTCGAACAAAGTGTCTAAAAATGTGATAATCTCAGGCGCCCAAAATTTCAAAACCGTGCTTAAAGTCGCTCAAAAGCTATTCGAGAAAGACCTCCAGACTCACGTAGGGTTAGAAACTGAAAGCACACTACAAGCTTAGCAAATCTTGTCAGACACCATGATCACAAGTGAGATGCAATCAATGTTATCTGACTGAAGGTGGTGCTATACTAACGCCAACGGCGTTACATCTTCGCGCAACAAAGCAAGCGGGCAAAAATCGCAAGTCTATGCAGCTAAATTTGTTCAACTATCCTGCTTCTTCCCTCCCCCCCCCCCCCCCCCCACCGACACCCAGCACGGATGGTCAGATGGATGCCGCCATGTGTATATATACAACGGCTTACACTTTCGTGAGGATACAAAAAATAGATCTGAGCCTTTTTGATACGGGCGTTGGTCTGAGTGCGCGCAGTTCGCCATTCAGCAGGGAGACATCTTTGTATACGTTAGGGAAATAGATTGTGTAAAGCCCAAGCCTTTGGAAATGCATTGCTTCTCGAGCGGCGCCAAATCGAATATCCATATTCACGTAATGCTTCCAAGTTACGTATGGAGTGACGGGAGTTGTATGGTAGCATATCATGGAGGCGGTAATGGCGGTACATTTTGTATCATTTATACAGGAGTCGAATCACGGGTGGCGGCACTACTGACACCACCGGCGTCACCTCTTCGCGCAGCGCAGCAAACGGAAGCAGTTTGTTCGTAATTTGTTTGTGCAAGCTCGAAACGGTGGTTCATTTTAACGCTTTACAGTTATTTTGACAGCTTTCACAATGCATAACACGACACGCAAAAGGGATGTGTGTGTGTGTGTGTGTGTGTGTGTGTGTGTGTGTGTGTGTGTGTGTGTGTGTGTGTGCGTGCGTGCGTGCGTGCGTGCGTGCGTGCGTGCGTGCGTGCGTGCGTGCGTGCGTGTGTGTGTGTGTGCGTGCGTGCGTGCGTGCGTGCGTGCGTGTGTGTGTGTGTGTGTGTGTGTGTGTGTGTGTGTGTGTGTGTGTGTGTGTGTGTGTGTGTGTGTGTGTGTGTGTGTGTGTGTGTGTGTGTGTGTGTGTGTGTGTGTGTGTGTGTGTGTGTGTGTGTGTGTGTGTGTTGTGTGTGTGTGTGTGTGTGTGTGTGTGTGTGTGTGTGTGTGTGTGTGTGTGTGTGTGTGTGTGAAGAGCGACGGGCTGGTGTTGATCCTCTAGGAGTGCGGCAGTCTGCCGCTGGCGCCGTGACGTCATACCTCGTACTTCTGGGTCTCGCCCAAGTCAAGCGTTTCAAGGTTGTTGACGGTGGCCGAGAGAAGGCCGCGCTTGAAGTTCAGCGCCCATACAGACTCAAATTGACTGGAGCAGAGCTCCTCCACTCGGCCGTCCTGGTAACTGTAACATCGAAAACATGCGTTCTGTCAACAGTGCATCGCAATGCTGCTGATGCCTGTGGGTGTAGACTCTCATCGAATGGAGAGGGGGGCGGGTAAGAAGAGAGACAGAGGAACAAAGGGGTGAAGAAGGGGGAAGAGAGGAGAGAGAGAGAGAGAGAGAGAGAGAGAGAGAGAGAGAGAGAGAGAGAGAGAGAGAGAGAGAGAGAGAGAGAGAGAGAGAGAGAGAGAGAGAGAGAGAGAGAGAGAGAGAGAGAGAGAGAGGGTCCACTTTTGTGGATGAAGCTAGTAATAAGCAATAGTTTGACTTTTAAAGAATGATACAATACAGCCTGTCTTCTTCATTACTTCTGCGTTTATTTCCTGTTTGAAACAATCATGACATTGCACTTGGGGCCAATAGAAGTGCTTTGGAGAAAATAAATGGATCGTTTCACATGCTTTGGCCATCTTTGAGGCATAATCGATGAATGCGCATGGTGTTCTCTTTGTATCGTTAAGGGCGGGCATGCGCGCGAATGCAGTAGCAAATGGAGCTGTTTTCGGCAATCTCTTAAGCCGTAATGGGGTGGCGAAACATAGAAAATGGCAACCATTAAGACCCATTACGACAGACAGACAGATAGAAAACGACAGGTGAGAAAGGGATGAATTATCTCATCCACCCAAGCGTTCTTAGATCATACCATGTGGTACATGATGTATTAGTATCATCAAATGTTGAACAAGTTTTTCAAACGCAATCTGGGATGCTAAAACCGGCCGCACCTAAACCTTAGGCCGTTCGGATACGACCATTCTGGTATCTCCGGAGCCATGGGTGGATCGAAACAATCAACCGCCGTTTGAAAGCCCAAACCTGTTCTCTCTCAAAACTGCGGTAATAGGCCTTCTCTGCGTCTATTTTGTGGTGAAATAGAGAGGCTTGGTTGAGGTCAGGCCAACTATCCAAAAATTAAATTGTCAATAGCTCAAAAAGGTCTTATGACACATGCTTCCAGAATAGTTTTGCCCTGGCATGCCACAGAAATGTTCATTCATATGCGTCTCGTCATTCTGAGTCGAAATCAGGTAACGGTCTGTCGGCCTTCCGAAACCCGGTCAAGGCAGTGCGGCTAGGAAGAGAGTAAGTTTGGAACAAATGAAGACATTTACTTGAAACGGGCCATATGTGTACACAATGATCGAATCCATCTTGCCTACCGTGCATGTTTTCTGTTAATTTGCATTAAGATCTTGATCATCAGCTAATAGCACCAATCATATCCTGTATTTTATGTTTGCATGATAATCTAGTCATCTAACGTTGGCTATGAGGGCTCGACATCGCTATTTAGCTGTGTATTTACCTGAATGCACCTTTGCCAAACATAAGACACCTTTTTTTCCGGAACAGCGTTTGAAGGTTTTAGCATTGTGCTAAAATTTTCATGATCTTAGTTCACGTTATTTCTACACACGTTCCTATTCAGGGTTCTGAATTTAATGGTTAACGGTTAAGGTGCATCTGCATTTGTATGCTCACAATTGTCCTCCATTTCACATGGAAAGTGTCCGGAAAGAGTTTGCATGTGATCATGCTATGTTTATGTCATTCTGAAGTGATCTGCATTATTATCGTTCTGGTGGCTTTTCAACGTCAGATAATCCAACATAAAGTTAGGCCGGATTTACAGCGCGTCACCAGATTTAACCGTTCAAAAGTAAAACGATTTTGCACGTTGATGGTACGTAATTTACATATTTGGAATCCCTTTCTAGCTCTGTTATCCCCGTTGATGTGACTTGTTTAGTTTTTATATATCCACAGAGGTTAATACAACTTCATTCACCCTCTTCACTTGACAAGATACGTCGCAGGTTATATGTGTCCATGTTAATTAGTGTGTCCATGTTAATTCCATCTTTCGTGAGTTATGCACAAAACAGAAGTGAATTGCACCAAACATTCACCCGCGCCATTGCGGACTGTCACTACCGGCTTTAGAGCGCTGCATGCCGACGCCTCTGTATGCAAATGCGCTCTTCCAGCCTGAGCGAGACCCAGACACCCGGCCGAGACGACAGATCATATCAACAACAGCCCGGCGGCAGTGGGGTTCCCGACTGCTGCCTCTGACAAAAGCCAGATCAGATCCTGCTGGCGCGGTCTAAATATGAGATGCACGGGGTCCCGCAGCGCCCCGCCGAAGCGTCGCCCACGGCGGCGCGGCGCTACTGCTGCCCGCGCATGCGCACGCGCAACGAACCGCACTTGTTCGCGCCGACGCTGCCAACACGCAGTTGATTTCAAACGAACTTGGATTGCGCATTCATTCGCTCCTGCTGGTAATGAGCATGAGGAATATGAGAGCTACATCGTATATGCATTTGCTGAGCATGATGATATCACTTCATCTCATAGCGTCAGCTGTGTGTTTGAAGTCAATGTGTGTTTTGTGTTTTGGTCTAAGTCAAAACAACCAGGGTATCCCTTCGGCTCGCTCCTGAACATACGGTAAGCAAAAAGGGTTACAGCGAATAAAGAGAGCACACAGCGGTAGATCACATGTCATGTTTGCTCTCGTTTTACGGTCTGCGCACGTCCGGCGCTGGTTATGGATCAGGATTGACTTGGTAACGCAACGTACAGTTTCAACGCGTTTTGTCATTTTGCATTTTGCAAGCGCAAATACTCGAACCAGCTAATCCGTTTCCAAAAGATGTCCAGGATAACTCAGCTTATCCTGCAGCGATAAGTTTCAACTACAATGTGGTGTTTGAAGCGTGATTCTGAGTCATACACACGTGTCATTTTTGTCATCTCCTGCCATGATAACGGCTGTCACACAGGGTCTGTGGTGAGAACGCAGTTCAAAGATTAGAAAGATACATCCTTTCGTTTTGCTGTGGTTTCAAAGCATACAAATTCGTACTTAAAAGTTGTTATTTATATTTTTAAGTGTGCTCATCCAGGTGCTCACTTACCTGAAGGACAGCGGATATTTCTCCAGCTCGTCTTTGAAGGAGGCCATATCGTCCACATGCAGTCGACGATCTACGTTCTTCGGATCCGAGTCCTCAAGGGTGACATCCCTCAACTGAAACCAGGAACGCAGTGCCAGTGACGTTACATTGGCCGGGGGGAGCTCGTTCATCGGTCATCGAAGACTTCGCAACGGGTCATTTGGTATTCGTGATGCCAGGGACATGGTATCATTGCTGGTCGTTATAGGGTGCTGATTGCCGGGACAGGGCACAGGGTATTGATTCCGACTATTGCAGGTGGCTGGCTGTTCTGACTGGGCACAGGTTATCCTTACCGACTGTTATTGGGTATCGGTTGCAGGGACAGGGCACAGGGTACCGTTATCGACTGTTACAGGGTACCGGTTGCCGGGACAGGGGACAGGGTGCCGTTACATACCACCGCAGGGCACAGCCTCATGCTTGACCCCGATTGACGGCGGTCTGCCGTCGTGACCGACCAAACAGCTGTGATCTCACACTGCGTGCTGAGCCCCATGCCTGTCCCCTCACCAGCATGCCGCCGCAGCCGGCTGCTGACCTTACACCACATGTGGCGCCGCCGTGGCCGGCCGCTGACCTTACACCGCGTGCTGCGCAGCCGTGAGCGGGCACTGACCTGGAGCGTGAAGTCGCAGGCCGAGTTGGCCGCGATCTCGGCCGTGGCCTTCACGTGCAGCCTCGACGCCTCGTCCGTGGCGCCGGCCAGCGTCGTCACCACATCGGAGGTGTACGCATACACGTACGTCTGGCCGGCCGTGTAGGCGAACTTGCTGTTGTCGGCGCCCAGGCAGTAGGAGGCGCAGCGGTGGCCGGCCCGCGGGTCCGTCGGCCCTGCCAAACAGCGGTGATGAGCGCAGTCACAGTCACCGACTGTGACTGACAAGTGGTGCTAGTCGATGCAACAGCTCCTTGCTGCGTTGCAGACTGTGGGCTACTTATGCCCAGTCTGTTTTTTTTTTGTACGTGAGGCAGCTAGAAATGGTACATCCAGAGTTGCAACTAGGGGCAATAATCTGACCGACATAAAATGACCGACAAGGCATATCAAATGCCGGGGATTCCTAAAATCCGTGGAAAATGTTGACATTTATGTGGATCTTGTATTGGTCTCATACGGTTTTTGTCCTTTGCTACACACACACGAGATTTTCCCTCGCCTGCCGAGAAGCCGGCGGAGCCACTGGAAACGGGACGATCGAATTTCGCCATCAAAGAAACCCAGGTGGTAAAAGATATCCCAGGCTGTCAAGAAGCCCCTAAAAAATAAATACTACCCAACAGGAGCCGTCAGGAACGAGGTGGCAGACAGAGCGGCTCTTATTCGAACAGCGAAACATTTCCACTTGCGCTGCTGGGGAACACATGCCAGCTACACTTCCTGCCGGGCGTTTCAGAACGATCAGAACGTGGCAGCGCATCCTGGGGCAGGCGGTACGGGTTAACCGTCCGTTCCTCACCTTTTGAGGTGTGGGCAAAACTATCTTATTTGTTTCTTCTCATACTTTAAGTTCGCCCGGAGAAGGCCCTCGAATGTGTGGGAGTACTTGGCTTGTGCCGTTACCAAACTAAGCGTAGAGGGCCCATCTACGGTTCAGCACGGGCGCATCTTGGGCTCAGAAAGTAGTCGTCTAAGTCCAGAAATGGCCTACCTTAACGTGAAAATGGTTCATTTAAAGAGTGACGAAACGCCTTGACAGTTTCAAAGAAAATATCGCACATTTGAAGATATTGAAGCGAGCACCAGATATGACGAAATAAGCTCGCTTGTAACTATCGGTGTACTTTCAAGTGGAACCGGCTGCCTCAGACAACACAAATTGTCTGTTTGATTAATATGTTCTTCAATGCGCCATGGGCTGATTACGTCATCGCATGTTGCACGACATTTGTCATCGTCATTATGTGTCATCGATATCTTCATTTGTCATTTGGCATCGTCATTTGTCACTTGGCATTGTCATTTGTCGTCGTCGGTTGTCATCGTCATTTGTCATTGGTCATCGTCATCATGTGTCGTCAGCATCGTCATCCGTCATCTGTCATCGTCATTTGTCATGGTAATCGTACCTTGCTCAGCTATTTTTCTTTGCCCTCATAGCCATGTGGCCATGAAGGCCAAAGAATGGCAGGATTTGAGTGCCGCTATTATAGCGTCATGGATGCCTGGATAGCCCTGAAGTAGTCTCCATGAAAAAGTCTGCGCATCTTCGCCGGCGTGTATCTCAGAAACTAGGTGAGTTTAGGTCTTAAGAAATGTAGGGCTGTGAACTGCACAGAACGATCTTCAAGATGGCTATTTCAAGTCAAACTCCATATAAGTGTGGAACACTCCTCTTAAGTTGTGAAATGCCCGTTTCTGGCCTGAAAGGGCACGTAGCGGAGCCGGAAAGGCCCATCTTAGATTAGGAAACGCCCATCGTGAGAACAGAAAAGCCCAGCACCGAGGCTAACAGGGCCCATCTTAGGCTCAGTGAGAGCTCGTTTGATATCATTGCGGAGCTCGTTCCAAAATGGGGAAGTGAGCATATTAACTTCGGCAAGGGTTAATTTTGCATCTCAGGCCCGGAAAGTCTTATCTCAGTACCGAAACGTCCTGCCCTGATTTGAAAAAAAGATTCTCTCTAAGACCACGATGAAACCTTTCGAAACAAAACAAACCAGCAGGCTCGGAAATGCCTCTTTGCGAGCCTGAGATGCCCCCATTCGCGCTTTTTAGAATCTTCGAAGGCCCGCCATGGGTCTAGAAAGACTCCGTTTAACACGCGGATCTTGCTTCCAACATGCGTTTCAGGCAACTCCAAATCATGCCAGGTCAAACATTGTCAGGGAGGTCAGGCAATTGCAATAGAGGTAGCTTCAACTACGTCTGAGTCAGTCACACACATCCATAAAACAAGTTAAATATATATATTCGTAACAGCCCATTCTTCAGAAAACTACTAAGGGATGTCATGAGGGCTACTCAATCTGAATTAGGTCATCAATATTTAAAATACGGTTTGGCTTAAGCACCTTCCTAGTATCTATTTACATCATTTTGCAATAGAACAATGCTAACAGGATAGATATCGCCCAGAAAAGCATTCACAATGGCTCACGGGGGTCATCGACCCTCAGGAAAATGGCCCAGAAGCATAACAAGACCTCAAGATGTTATAATTATGGCTAACAATGAATGTTCACCATGTGCTAGGTTTAGTGCCGATCGATCACACTCACACTGAATGGCATGCTCCAAAAAAGGCAACACGAGCCTCTTAGACCCATTCTAGATCACCGATTTGTAGGGACATTGACTCCATTATTGCTACAGCACATGCAAAAAGGTACATTAAGAGGTGATACATTTCTCATCGACCTGCAACCAGTTGTAAAATCCTCGAAAATCTCGAAAGAGGGCCTCACGAGTCCCTGGACGGGTTCAGGTTAAGTAATGTAATGCGATCTGTTGCATGTAGCTAATTGACCTGCAATAACTCTTCTCCTCCTTTGTCTTTGCTGAAATAACTACTCACATGCGGTATCTTTTTGGATGTTTTTTACTGCACATGAGTGACAAATGATAGGTACATAACGTTTGAATGCTTCATGTTTCAAACATTATCACTCTCGCCCCCTTGCTCTCACCCCTGGAGGCACCTCCGTGTTAAAAAAAAAAAATGTTACCCTTCTCCTCCTTCACACTTGCACATATTTTCTCCAACTGCCCGTTCAAATCACCGTAGTGCGGGCCTGGGCAGACCACCATGTCCCTCTGCACCCCGTTTTTTGCTCCACCGGAACACGCACACCACTACATATGTGTGCACACATAGCAGGCACACGCACACCACTACATGTCTCAAAGGGCTCGTGACAGATGGAGAACTTGGTTGTGTTTTTTTTTTGCCTGTTTTGAGGACCCGTAATGTTCTTTATATTGTATGAAAACTCATCCTTTTTCCAGCCCTAGACCCGGCTGTGCCATGCCTCTTTTCGCCTACATGACAATGCTCACCTACATGGCAATAGCAACACTCATGGCGCAACTGTTTCAGCACTCTGGAAACAGTTCTAAGTCATGTAAGCGCAAAGCAACGCACATAATCTCCCGACGATTACCATATTCGCAATATCGTCAAATTTCACTTGAGGTCCCTCTCAAACCGGACCCTGAAATCACCCTTGCGTCTGCCACGTACCTTACATTTTTATACAATATGCAGAAAGGGACAAGTAGAAAAAGGCGGAGAATTTCGACAGTCTGCTCGGAGACGCTTTGAAGAAACCTGCAAAACAAACGAGAGGGTGACGAATGCCCCTTCCCTCCCTTTAAATGATAGGACTAAGCAACGAAGAGACTGCAATGGTGCCAGCGAAAATTCTGGCAAATCATGGGGTCCACGAAGTGCTCCAGACGTGAGCGCTGCAGTGTTCGCATGGAATTCTCGGCATGCAAATGTAATCGAGGATGTGTATGACATGTATCTTTTGTTTATCTGAAAATCACCGAGAGAACATGAATCATCCGCAACGCCGTTGATGTACCTCATCAGTTTAACCCGCCACGAGCTCACAGAGGGTCAATCACGTAAATATTTAATACCGGAAATTCCGAGACCCTGAGGTCATGCCGGTCATAAGTGATTCTTGACATTTCCGTATATTATGTGCTCTGCTCAGACGTGAAAAGGGCAACTTGACTTGCAGGGCTCGCACAAACCCACTATGTGACGACACCGTCGTGAGGTAAATAGCTTGCAAAACCCTAGCACAGGCCCCACGCCTTGCGGTGCGGTGAGTAGCTAGGGCCACGGCTTCACTAAAGCTCTGAAAGTATCTAATTCCACGCTAGTTCCACTTGGTAATAAACACATGAGCCGCAGAAAGATTTATCCTAGTAAGAACGGCGACAAGATGTGCAGATGTCAGTAAACTTAGGCAGGTAGTAAGGCTATCAACCCTGATAATGATCATAATGTGGGAAGAAAACAGAGATGTCCCGCGGAATGCGTTTTGCTCTGCCTGTTTTGCTTTTCTTCGCGTTAAGACGTCGCTAACGTTAAAATAACATGACAACTGATGGCGTTTCACTCAGCACGGAGTCAGTCCGATTGGGTATAGCTAGGCTCATTCAATTCGAATTCCGCTTTAATGTATCTGAAATAATAAATAGGTTTAGCGCTCATCGTAAGACATAGTGATGTAGCAGGTAGGAAATAAGCATCGCTAGTTTTGGGAAGATCATATCGTGAGGTTGATAAATAACTTTACGCAATATATGTGCGGTTTCCAGCTTGAAGCATGTTTTAAGGCAGTGAATTTGCTTATATCACAAGGAGGAGTTCATTTGAGCTCCCTGATGCTTCCGAGTCTACTGGGAGGACTTTTCTTTTGGTTTTTCTGATTGATAGCGGAAGCGTAAGCTTTTTGGCATATAACAGCCCACAGATTTGGTTAATTGAGTACCCTGGAAAATAGGGAACTGGTTTAAAAAAACACCTTATGGAGTGTCGCAATTTTAATAGATGTGAACGGCACGTAGTGTAAAAGGACGAGTACAAGCATCCATGCAAAACATTTTACATTAGGAATGAGCCAACTTTTCGGCAACGATGCCGGAATATACAAATGGGTGATTACGTCTTCACTCTGGTGTGTCTAGTGTCTAATCCCAGGGCCGTGAACAGCACACTCATCTGGGACAGTCCATGACACGTCCTGACATGCCTCTCAAAAAATTCCCTGGAGTCGCCTCTGAATGGTAAACGGAGCTTAAAAGCTGGGTTCAAGTTAAATTTACGCCAATGAAAACATGCCGAATTCCAGAACTCTGGTCTCGATGGTATTGA